GCTCATAAATCTGTCTCCTTTCTGTCTCTTTATCAGGAAAACCTTTTATAAAATTTACAAGAAAAAAAAACTGCTGAAGGATACCAATCAATCCCATACATGGTTTCACTTTCAAGTGCGATGTTGTTATTGTACTACGGCAGGATGAAGAGTAACGTGAACCTCATCATCGGCACCAGCAGCTTCGGATGTGCCATTGAAGTTATTTATATTGTGTTATACATCATATATGCACCAAAGAGGGATAAGGTTATTAGATCCTTTCCACCTCAAGGTACACTCTTTTTCCTCCATTTAGGATTAAGAAGGTTTTTTTAATGAGGTACCATTTGATAACTCAACTCAACTCGATTAAACTCGAAAGTTTTGACACGGGAAGATTTTTATTTGGAATTTGCAGGTATTTACAGTGAAAGAGATAATATTATTCAACCTTGGATGGTATTGTTTGATAATGGTGGTCACCAATATGTTAACACAAAGGTCTAAACAAGTGATTGTCATGGGATGGATTTGTGTTGTTTACAGTGTTGCAGTCTATACTTCTCCTTTAAGCATCATGGTTTGTTTACAGCAACAGTTTCTTTCATTGTTTATTAATCTCATAAATCTGAACTTGATAAGGCAATTACTCGATTTCTTCAACGATCTTATTCTCATCCTCACTATTTTTGCTGCAGAGACATGTCATAAGGACTAAAAGTGTGGAATACATGCTCTTTTCCCCCTCCTTTTTCCTCACCTTATGTGCCACAATGTGGTTCTTCTATGGACTTCTCATACAAGATTTCTTTGGGGCGGTAAGTCTAATTCGTACATTTTTAGTGTTTTTATGTTGAAATAAAATTCTATTTTGAACTTGATAACATTGACAACCATGTTTTTTGTGTTTCCAGTTACCAAATGTGTTGGGGTTTCTGCTTGGAATAACTCAAATGATCATCTATGTGAAATATAGGAACACAAACAAGGGTGTTGAGATAACATAACAAATGCAAAAAGTAGATATGGAGGACTCAATGGGGGATATAAAACCAAGTTTTGCAGATCATGAACAAATCAATGAAATTACAATCATTATTGCAGAGAAACCAGTTGAATTAGATGAGATTAACGCATGAAGTTTCTATTTTTGATTTAATAAGATATGCAAAAGCAACTTAAATAAAAGTATAATATTCCATATATTTGTGATATATATTATTACCGGACATACATTTTTTTTTCTAAATAAAATAAAGCAGAATGAATAACTGGACATTAAATCCTCCGTAAAAACATCCCAATCAAGAACTACTAAAGCTAGTAGCAATTGGGATGACAATCACAAGAACAATCAGCAACAAAAGAATGATCCCAATGCACATACACTTCCTGCTGTCCCTTTGATATTGTTTTGCAGTGTTGAGCTCTTTAGAACCATCTTTCACATAATGGCTAGCATTAATCACATGATGTCGTATCCATAAACATCTGGTGCAGTTCCAACAAACTTCTCTCGATTGGAGAAGATGTGATTGTTGCCATTAAATATTTTTTCCATCACTCATCTATGCTGCCTCCATTCAATGCAACCACTCTTGCCTTGATTCCCAAAGTTCCTAACCCCTGCAAAGTCAAAGATTTTAGACCAATCTCCTGTTGTTCAGTCATATATAAGACTATTACCAAGATTATAGTCAGAAGAATGTCCTGTCTCATTCTGGAATGGTTTCCCTCAACCAAACTGCTTTTATTAAGGGAAGAAGCATCGTTGACAATACACTTCTAGCTTAGGATGTGGTTAAAGGATATGGAAGGAAGAACATACCCCAAGATGCACAATGAAAATTTATCTTCAAAAAGTATTTGAAATTCTTCATTGGAACTTTATTACTGTTGTTTTGAAAGGTTTAGACCTCCCTCAAATTTTTATTGCATGGATTGAAGCATGCTTCACTGAAGCAAGATTCTCAATATCTTTCAATGGGACATCGATTGGATTCTTCAAAGGAGCGAGAGACATAAGGCAAGGTGATCCCCTTTCACCAATCCTATTTGTTTTATCTTTGAATGTCTTGACCAGAATGCTAAATTTGGCTACTGTTAGAAGACTCTTTAGTTATCACCCGAAATGTACAAATAGGGCTCATACACTTATCATTTGCCGATGACCTTTTGATTTTTTGTAAAGGAAATGTGGAGTTAGTTGCTAGTGTGTTATCAGTACTTGATAAATTCTATGAAATTTCTGGTTTGAGCCTTAATGTTGTAAAATGTGTTCTTTTTACTGCTGGTATTTCAACCAGAAATGTTAAGATAATTAAGCACTTTTCTGGGTTCAATCGGATGTCTGCATGTTAGGTATCTAGGAGTTCCCCTTATTACTAGAAAGCTCACAGAAAAATATTGTGAAAGCCTTATTGAGAACATTAAATCAAGACTCAACCAGTGGTCTGGAAATTATTGAGTTTTGCTGGCAGACTTGAGCTCATTAGAGTTGTTCTGTTCAGCATTGCCAACTTTTGGAAAAGACAGCTTCTACTCCCCAGGTTGTTATAAAAAGATCGAGCAGCTTTGCTCCCGTTTCTTCTGGAAGGGAACCGATTCTACTGCTAAAGGCGCGAGAGTCAGCTGGGCAAAAATCTGCACATTGAAATCTTAGGGAGATCTAGGCTTGAAGAACTTAAAAACATGGAATCGTGCTTGCATGATAAAACTCATCAAGAATATCCTTGCAGGAGAAGGATCGCTATGGGTTGCATAGATCAAGAATTATATTTTAAAGGACAATAATCTTTGGCAGATCGAAGAAGGCCCTAAATTCAGCTGGAGTTTCAACAAACTACGAGCTGAAGCCATACCAATTATCTCGAACAGGACCTTCATTATAACGGAAATCTGGCAGGAAATTAGGATTAATGGGGAAAAAGTTCCTTGGCAATCCTTGATTTGGTTCCCATTACATATACGAAAGCACAATATGATAGCATGGATGGCTCTCCTTGACTGTCTTCCTACTCGCGACCGTCTACAGCGAATGGAGATTTCAACCTCTGGAAACTGCGTTCTCTACAGTGATGCTCTGGAATCACGCTCCCATCTGTTCTTCGAATGCTCCACTGCTACTCAATTATGGGAGAAAATATTACATCATAATGGGATAAAATCTATTTCTTCTTGGGATGACATGGTTGATTGGGCTTACAACACTTGGAAAGGCACGTCCCTCATTACAACTATTCTGAAACTAGCTTGGTGTGCTAAAATCTATACTTTATGGGAAGAACGCAATCATAGAATTTTCCAAGGAAGATCAAGAACAACCGAAGACCTCTTCAATCGCATCAAAGATTTTGTAAGTATCAAATTGAGGGGGGAAATATCAATAGGACTGATAGTATTAACTCATTCCTTTGTAACTCTTGGGGCATTGCCTAAACCGATCGTTATTTTGTTAGTAGGATGTACATAGAAATTTTGTGATCGGTGTTTTTTTGTAGCAGTTTCTGCTTCTTTAGGTAATAAAATTTGAATTATCCAAAAAAAACTCCTCTCGATCTCTTTAGCAGCATCTCCAACACTTTTCCTCGACCATCATCTTTTTTACGTTGTTTTAAACTTTTCCTTCATCTTTTTTCCATTTCAAATTGGTATATATATATATATATTGAAGTGAATTATAATTATAACTATACTTCAATATTTTACATTTATATAATATGTTGATAATTTATGGAGTAGTACATAATTTTTGAGATGTTTAATTTTATATATTTAATATGTATTTTTTTCTAATCATAAATAATTATTTAGTTTGATATAATTATTAAATGTTACTACGTTTCAACTTCAATCCCTTAAACCTATCCAAATTTTATTATTTTTTATTAATAAAATAATATGTGTTGATAATATTTCTCAGTCATTGAAAATGTATACACACCCTCTAAAAACAATTGCACGAACCCCATGATCTTTAAAGAGAACGACACTCCATTTAATCACTAAGGTCACTTAATGAATTTTTTATTTAATTTTGTTGAACAATTTCTATCCAACGGAGGAAGAGAAATTTTACTCCCGATGAATATTGAACCTACAACCTAAAATTGAGGAAATGTGTTAAGTGATTTTGGATTAAAATTATTATTTTTATTTAATGATCTACCTAGAATTGAGATCATAATTTAATGACTAATGAAATGGTTTACGCTCAAAATTTCTTTTAAACTGTAAGATTATAAACTCTGCGTTACGAACACATTCCACAACCCACACTCCTACTAATAATAAATTTTAAGGTCAATTAAAAATAATAATCATTTAGTTTTAGAATTCTTTATTTATTGTCAAAATTGGAAAACTTTTATTAGAGTTATTATTATTGTGAAAAATTTTCATTTAGTTCACTAGGTCATTGAACCATTAACAACATTTAGTGTGACACATTAAAAACCCTAAAAAGTTAGAATCCATTATTTCCTTTTGTTTATCGTATTTGTTGTAATTTGATGACTTCTTTAATCGAAAATATCATCAAATTATTATTATTGTTGTTGTTATTATTGTTATTATTATTTTATTGATTCAAATTAATTAAAAATAATTTATCAAACCTCAATCGTAATTAAAAGATAAAAAAAATAATCTGATATTACTAATTATCAAATCAACTTAAAATTAAATTATGTTAATTTTTAATTAAACTAAATGCTTTTATCGTTAAAATTAATCGATAATTGTTATGTTCAATTGGAAACTGACATATATAATAGTTTTTAATTTAAAATTTCACTTTTTTAAAAAGAATATTCTAATGTACTACATTAATTTTTCAAATAATAATAATCATAATTAAAAAAATTAATAATTATAATATAAATTTAAAATTTTGATGACCTCTAAAATTTCATTGACCATAATGTCGTTTACTCTAAATTTTAATAATCAAATCGTTTGATCCCTTGTCCGATAAAGAGAGTAAGAGACCGATTCCTTTTACAGAGAATCCTTCCATTCCTTTTCAAGCCTGAAGAACTCTTCGGGAATCATTTCGTGTTCAAAATATCGGTCCAATTCTGAACCAAAATCTCTCTTTTACACAAAGCAAATCTCTGCTCGAGAAACCCTCTTCTCCATTTGTTCGTGAGTTTGAAAAATATCTGGAAAAAAAAACAAGAAGAAACCTAAAGATGAAGGGTCCAATAAAGATTGCAATCGGTGACATGGTTATCTCTTTCATGTGGGCTTTCGTTTCATCGTCGTTTGGTTTACTGACTTATTTGATAGCCAGCACCGTTGGTGTCCAATCCTTAGCTTGGGCACCCCTTGTTATCATTACCGTCGTCTTTTTCGTTTTCCTTTCCATGTTTAATATTATTGGTGCAGTTCTCGGTGGTGCAAGTTTTGATCCTACTGCTACTGCTGCCTTCTATGCCGCCGGCTTCAGCGACGATACCCTTATTTCCATGGCCCTCCGCTTCCCAGCTCAGATAAAATAAATACACTAAATTTGGCATTTTTTGAAAAAATCTGTTTTTATTTGACATGGGTTCTGCTGTTCTTTTAACTTTTTTGATCAAATTATATGATCCTTTTTGCGGTTTAATAATGATCTTTTTAACTGTTTTGACATTCATTTACTAGTTCAATAAAATAATTTGTAAATTCACCTCTAAATCCAATTTAAATGTTAACACTCTAGCTTTAGTTATTTTCTTTTTGTTACTTTCAAATATTCATTATCTTACTTGCTAGCAATTTGTTGTTAGTCTTCTTCTCCATACAATTTGTGCAGTTGTGTAATGTGTATTCAATTCATGTCGTGCTGCGTGTCAAGATTCTGTTGTTTTGAGACAATATTAAATTGCAAAGAACAACTCATGTTAAAATCCTTGTCCTAGCAAGAGAGTTATGTCATCTTAAGCTGTTTAAAAATGAAATTGAACTAGTAGCTAAAGCTACAATGTTGATGTACATTACTGAAAATGGAGTATTTCGCTGGCAGGCTGCTGGTGCCTTGGGTGGTGCCCTGGCGATCATGGCGGCGATCCCGGAGCAATACAAGCACCTGATAGGGGGACCATCTTTGAAAGTAGATGCACACACTGGAGCCATTGCTGAGGGGGTCTTGACCTTTTTAATCGCCTTTGCTGTTCTTTTTATCGTTCTTAGAGGCCCACAGAGTCCGATATTCAAGACAGGGTTGATTTCGATTGTGGTCGTAACATTAGTAACGTTTGCCTCTGCTTACACTGGACCTTCCATGAATCCTGCATTTGTAAGTTTCGCCCGTCCATTTTGTATGTTTTTCTATTTTGAAACGTGTCTGATATATTTATATTTGGAATTGTACCCAGCATCGGACATAGTTGCTTAAAGATAAGTAGCAACATATGTTATGTGTCCCTCCCTAAAGGTTTCCATGTATTTTGAGGGTCTTTGTAACCATTTCTCTATACCAATGTTTGGATCTGTGTCAAACGGGTTCTTCAAGAAAAAGAAGAGTCGGTAACATAGACCATCAGTGCTACCTTGTGTTTCCAGTTTAGGATTCCAATAGTGCTTCTTTGACTGGTTAGTCAATGATAGTTGTCCCTAAAGGTTTCTCTATACACGGACTCGGTACAAGTGTCGGATTTGGGTATGTGTCTAACACAGGTTCGTTGAATTTAAGTTTTCTATGAATTTAGAGAGTCCTTTTTGTTGCTGGACCTTCATATTCCATAGTTTTTGCGGCGAACTTGTGTTCCTATTGCATCATCTCCTTGAAGTCCTGATTACACTTCGTATTGAATCAATAAAGTTATACTCCATTGTAAATATGCATCATATTATGCATTTATTTCCTCGCTTGTTATCGGTTTTTTTTTTAAATTTCACAAGTTTGTAAATTTTAACCATTCATTTCCTAAGTCTCTTTCCGAAAGCAACCACATGTTATTGGTGCAGACATGTTTGACATTCTAAATGCGTTTGGAGTTGTGAATCATATTGCAGGCCTTTGGTTGGGCATATGTGTACAGCCAGCACAACACATGGGATCATTTTTATGTTTATTGGATCTGTCCGTTCGTCGGAACTATATTGGCTGCGATGGTTTTCCGGCTATTCTTCTCCCCACCACGAGAAAGTGAAGAAATCATAAGGTTGCTTGAAAAGGTTCGTGTGTCCATCAACAACAGAAAATAAGCTCAACGTTTATGCAATAAGATCTTTTGATCTGATCATCAATACCCGTCTATCATCTGTGGATAATATGAACCTGTCCTATAGTCTTTTCTGCATTCCCTTGTCTGGTTGGCTGCGAATTATGTGAACAATCCATGACTTAAAATCAAACTGTTGGTAAAATAGACTGCTGCAAAACGAGGCATTAGCATTGACTGGAAAAATATATATTGAAAAATATAAATAAAGAACCGATTAACCGTGTCGTGGTATTAACCACTGCTTTAGAAACGAATTCGCCCCGATGTGTGTAATCGCTGCAGTAGGCGGACCGTCCCCCGAGGTTAACACGGTCGCTCTAAATTTCGTACACCCGAAATCGGAGTGGATTGCTGGTGGTATTGCACTTCTGATCGGAAAACACACAGAGAACAAGTTTAGAAAACACTTGAAGAGTGAATTCAGAATGTTGAGAGTGTGTGTTGAGAAGTTGAATTTAGCTCTCTATTTATAGGCTAGAAGTAAGGGTAAATCCGTCCAACAAGAAAATCAAATTAAATTTGATTTTAATTCTGAATTTAAACCCTTTTTGTAACTCCTCTTGATGAATCTGGCTCAAAAAAGAGTATGTTTATTGCATAAAAATTAAACAGTTATAACTCCTGAAATTAAATCATATAACTCATGTAACTCTTGATATTAACAGTTTGTCTCTCCCATGAACAAAGTTGAAAATCAGTCCAGATACATCTTAAATTATGATTTAATTTAAAAAAAATAATTGTTTAATTTATTTAATTTCAGACAACTAATAATCAATTGTTATCATCTGAAATATTCAAACTTTAACAGTCTCAGTAGCCTATAAATATCAGATGAATCTTTCACATTTTTCATTTAATCTTTCAAAGAAAATTTTTTACGAATTTTCTCTAAAAAGATAGTATACGTGTGGACATGTCAAAGACACGCATTACCACGCCTTGTTCTCTATCACTCAACAAGAGAATGGAGAATGGAAACCTTAAATACCATTCCCACTAGTATTTCCAACTCTATGTGGGATTGAGCATTATCAACATTCCCCCACTAATGCGAAAGAATTCTTCTGAAACTAGAAAACAAACTTTCCAGAAGAGCAATAGCGAGATTAATTGCTTAAGCACTAGTGAACGTATCTGGAACTAGTACATAGTGATGATGAGCAATCCTTCTCTTAGATAAGTGAAACTAGTCTGGAACTTTCTAAGATGGGGGTAAACTCATAACACACAACTGAACCCTTCATCCACCTGAGTCCTCGATGTGTAAGATATATATATACAAAAGTATATATTTGGTCATCCTACCTCAGGATTTTAGTAAGTGTGCTAGAAAAATGGCCCAACATTTTTCATAGAAGGCGGCTAACCCTTCTCACTTACATAGGTTATTTCATCAAGTTTATCTCGATATAAACCACCCTTAACAGGGATATGAAATAATTAAGAGCTTTTATAAAAGCTCAACCTCACAAAGGGTATGGTGATTTTCTTCAAGTTCATTATTAATGAACCACCCAAACTCTGGGCTAAGAAATCATTAAGAATAAATATTCAACCTCATAATTTGGTGAATTCAATATGTCATTCTCACTAGGAACTCCCATTCAATATGTCCTTCTCACTAGGAACTCCCAAACTCTTGGGTTTGAATTCATTAAGAGTTTAATAAAACTCATCCTCTCAAGCGGTAAGTTCATCTAGTCCTTCGCGATTAGAACTACCCACTCAACTCTGGGTTATGAACTTATTAAAAATAGATATTCAACCAAAATCGGTAAATTCATCAAGTCTTTCTCATTAAGACCACCCAAAGCATGGCCTATGAATTTATTAAGAGCAATTAAGCTCATACTGGGCATGCACATTATTCATCATAGGGATAGGCAGTAGGAATGTGCACTATGAGTCTTTCCATGGTTTTGTTTGACCACATGGAACTTAGATAACTAAGTTGGGTATCCACCATGAATTCCTCAACCAATGGGCTTGAGACCCATCCCCCTCGACGAATCTAGGACTAGCTTCCGACTTAACCCTTTGGTAAGCGGATCTGCTAGGTTCCTTTCCGACTTCACATACTCTAAAGAGAGCACTCCATTCTTTATTAAGTGTCTAACTGATTCATGTCTTATGCGAATGTGTCTTTTCTTACCATTGTAAGTTTGGTTCTTAGCCACACATATCGCAGCTTGTGAATCACACAACAATGAAACTGGAGGAATCGGTCTTCCCCACAACGGAATATTTGCTAACAAGCTTCTAAGCCACTCGGCTTCTTGCCCAGCTAGGTCAAGAGCTATAAACTCTGACTCCATGGTAGAACGAGCAATACAAGTCTGCTTTGATGATTTCCACGAGATCGCTGCTCCACCCAAAGTAAAAACATACCCGCTCGTAGAGCTTACCTCATCATTATCAGAAACCCAGTTGGCATCACAATATCCTTCCAGTACCGCAGGAAAGCCAACAAACTCAAGTTTCCAATCCACAGTACCCTTAAGATACTTCAGTAAGCGTTTAAGCGCAATCCAGTGTTCACCACTCGGATTATGAGTATATCTACTTAGTCTACTCACAGCATAAGCAATATCAGGCCGAGTATAGTTCATTAAGAACATTAAACTTCCGATTAATTTAGCATATTCGGTTTGGGAAAACTACTTCCTTTATTCTTAACTAGATGTATGCTAGGGTCATAAGGAGTTCGAACAGGGACGACATCAAAACTGTCAAATTTCTTTAGCACTTTCTCTATATAATGTGCTTGACATTAAAGAAAATCCCTTCTCAGTTTTGGTAACTTTGACTCCTAAGATTACATCAACTTCTCCCATATCCATCATCTCAAATTTAGTGGACAAGAAACCGTTTGTTTTGTTAATGGACTCAATGTTAGAACTGAAAATCAACATGTCATCAACATACAAAACTTATGATGATGCAATCAGTATCAAACATCCTCGAATACACGCAAGCATCCGAACCATTCACTACAAAACCAAAACTAAGTATAGTTTTATGAAATTTCTTATACCATTGTTCTCATATAGATCTCCTCATCTAGATCTCCTTTCAAAAATGCATTCTTAACATCTATTTGATGTACTCGCAACTTATGAATGGAGACTAGTGCAAATAATGCACGGATCATTGAGATGTTCATAACAGGAGAGTAAGGATCAAAGTAGTCTAAAACAAACTTTTGAGTGAACCCTTTGACAACTAGCCTTGCCTTATACCACTGGATCAAACCATCTGGTCTCATTTTCTTCCGGAAGATTCATTTGTTACAGATTGGTTTAAATCCTCTAGTCAAGTAAACTAATTCTCAAGTATGATTAGACATTATCGATTCTAGTTCATCATTAATAGCGCTTTTCTAGAACTAGTATCGATAGATCTTATAGCCTTTTAGGATCCTCTTATAATATTTAAGCTATATGATCAAAAAAAAGTCTAAATCATTTATCTCAGAAAAAAAGGAAGTGATAAAATTTGGTCCAAATAGCCTTTTACTTCTTCTAGTCTCGAAATCAATTTCTTGAGAAAACCTAGCAGGAATACTAGAAGAAGTTGATAGAATATTTTTTATTTAAGTTTATGCATTTAATCTACATTTTAAGACACCCCCACATTTCTAACATTTTAGGATATCCATAAGTGTCTTGTAAAACGTGTAAACAAATACTCAATCATACTAGAGTAAAGTTTGTTATGAGTTTTAGCCATAAAACTATATTTTAACAAACTCAAGTTTTGTTTACACATAATTATATTCTCAAAGTTTTGAGAAGTTATAAATCATTAAGATTAAAATGCATAAACCATTATGAAATAGATAATCTCTTTTCTTTCCTCTACTTAGGAAAATCACTTAAAGAGATTTAATAACTACAACACACTCTTAGTAGCAATAGTGTCTATCATATTTTCATTCATGATATTCAACATATTTTCCTTAAAGAGATCATCATATATTTTATTTACTATGACTAAATTTGGTATTCCGCTCAACCAAATTAATCTCTACTCGTTTAACTTATGCACTAAGTTTTAAGAGTTTTTATCTTGTCATAGTATTTTATAAATTGGAATAGTAAGCATAGTAATGAACAATGCACCAGGTAGGTTTCTATGAAAGAGAGGTGATGCACTAGGCACGCTTAAGTACCAAGTCTTCATAGAACCAATCCTAGACATGCACTTTCATACTCATCACTATTTTCCAATAAATTATTTGTGAATTTTCTTTCTCTTTAAATAAGATCTCTTTAAAGAATTATGCTTGATACTTTTACTCACAATAGTATCTTATTAAGCATATATATTTTTGTGCTCACACTACCACCTTAGCCTTAGTAATACTACCTTAGTCTTTGCTAGTGGTTTATGTCATTTCGTAGTATTTCCACCAAGTTTTACAGACTAACTCAAAGGCACATCTATACTAAGTCATGCATCATTATAAGCATAAATTAATAAGTAACAAGTCTAAATAGTCTGACCTCGCAGGTATAATTATAATTTCCAAATAGACTTGTTCATCATGCTTTGCATCATCATTTTGAAGAATCTTCTCGTTCAAAAAATCATCATCTTCATGATTCTCAAAAATTGCTACCGTTCTGTTATCTTTATAAATTTCTCAAAAGAAATTATTAGTACGGTACAAAAATAGATATAATTATTTTCACATTAGTTTTCAGGAACTATATTACCCCCACATGGGAATAATTTATTTTATATCTCCGCATGAACCAAATATCACACATGTATTATCTCTCGTACCCATATATCAACTATCATCAATTCATAATTTGATGATGTATTAACTTAATATTAATCTTTCAAACCACATGATTAATATATTATTGTGCATTTATAAATGCAAACAATGCAAACATTAAAAAATATATATATTTATTCACATAAGTTACATTATAAATTTTATAACTTATGTGCATTCAATCTTTAATGCATTGAATATACCACTAATATTCAATTATGGTACATGCATAACATTGGCAGTCTAATATATATATAAACATGATTTTACACCTTTAATAATAAACCAATCGTTTCAATGATTAAAGCATATCAATAATGTCATAATGATTATAACATATTCATGCTTACCAATAAATATCATTTGTTAAAAACAATATTTAATGACTTTAATTGCTAACGTGCATATGTTTTAAACATCATTATTATGCATTATTATAATAAAACGTATGCATCATGGAAATGTAGCATACTTCCTAGCATCTTTATGGGAAGAACCCTTCATCCCAAATACCTCCGAACATCGGTATACTCGCTGCAACCAGCAAGTTCTGCAGAGGTAGACCTCATCCAGCATAGCTTGATTTATGGTATCTATCAAGAATTCAAAGATACACAATACGGAACATGATTGAAAAGTATAAATCCAGAAATACCTCCAACACCACTACGCTCACTGCTGTGACCCACAAACACCTTGATTTCCAGTTTATATGAAAAAGAAGAGAGAAGCAACATGATGGAATAATGTAAATACAGAAATACCTCCCAACATCTTTACGTTTACTGCCGTGACTAATCCATACTCAACAAACACTTCATCCCACATGCCTTGATTGCCAGTTTCTCGTAAAAGATTAGACATGTAACATTTAACATGATAGATCAAACCTGAACTCGGATTAAAGATCCTTGTAACGATGATCAATCAAGACAAGTATTCTTTTAACAGTAGTATAATAATTCGTTTCTAAATTGTTGGTAAAATAGACTGTTGCAAAACGAGGCATTAGCATTGACTGTAAAAATATATATTGAAAAATATAAATAAAGAACCGATTAACCGTGTCGTGGTATTAACCACTGCCTTAGAAACGAATTCGCCCCGATGTGTGTACTCGCTGCAGTAGGCGGACCGTCCCCCGAGGTTAACACGGTCGCTCCAAATTTCGTACACCCGAAATCGGAGTGGACTGCTGGTGGTATTGCACTTCTGATCGGAAAACACACAGAGAACAAGTTTAGAAAACACTTGGAGAGTGAATTCAGAATGTTGAGAGTGTGTGTTGAGAAGCTGAATTTAGCTCTCTATTTATAGGCTAGAAGTAAGGGTAAATCCGTCTAATAAGAAAATCAAATTAAATTTGATTTTAATTCTGAATTTAAACCCTTTTTGTAACTCTCTTGATGAATCTGGCTCAAAAAAGAGTCTATGTTCATTGCATAAAAATTAAACAGTTATAACTCTTGAAATTAAATCATATAACTCCTGTAACTCCTGATATTAACAGTTTGTCTCTCCCATGAACAAAGCTGAAAATCAGTCCAGATACATCTTAAATTATGATTTAATTTAGAAAAAATGATTGTTTAATTTATTTAATTTCAGACAACTAATAATCAATTGTTATCATCTGAAATATTCGAACCTTAACAGTCTCAGTAGCCTATAAATATCATATGAATCTTTTACATTTTTCATTTAATCTTTCAGAGAAAAATTCCTTACGAATTTTCTCTAAAAAGATAGTATCCGTGTGGACATGTTAAAGACACGTATTACCACGCCTTGTTCTCTATCACTCAACAAGAGAATGGAGAATGTAAACCTTAAATACCATTCCCACTAGTATTTCCAACTCTATGTGAGATTGAGCATTACCAACACGAACAAAAAAAAATTATATTTCCAATGAAACTTCACTTTTTTTACAAATATAATTGAATAAAAGCGACAGTTACAAGGCTTTGTGAAGTCAAACAAGAAAAATTGGATTTAAAAACTAGAATAAGATTACCCGTTAATTATTTTTGAAAGATATTTCGGAATTACATAAAATTTAGTATATGATATTTACCATCAAATAAAATTAACAAAACACCTGGATTCTCAACACCAAAAACACATAATAGATAAAAGGGTATGTGAAATTATATTTTGAAGAAAAAAATTAATGTGGTGGTTGTAATATTTTTTTTCTCTTAATGAGACACTCTAACTCAAAAAAATTTAATATGATCTTTTATTAACGTTTTTTGTCATTGATTAATATTAGTGTAAGTCATTCGTGATTATGATGTTTTAGTCAATCATAAGTTTTTACAAAAATCATTTCCATTGTTTTTCTTCTCCTTCAATAACTGTCATACAATCAGAAACAAACTATTTCTGTCTCTAACAATAGTCGTAAGTAGTATTTTCTTCGTAACAAAACATCAATGTCAATAAAAATTAATAAATTCGTTGGTCAATGATAAAAAACTTTAATCAAAGTGTAAAAGTAATTTTTTTTTAAGTTAAAGTATCATGTTAAAAAAGTAATACAAGAATCATATTGATATTTTTTTTAAGTAAATCTGCTTCGCGTATCATTTTACCAAAAGAATGTTACTGTGAAATACTCTTTTAGTTTCCAGTTTCTCTAAGATCAAATTAACTAATTAAAAATACGTTAAGAATTCTCCACTTTGCGTAGAATTAATGAATAAAAAAAATCCCCGTAGTATTTCTTTTGCTCCCAAAATCCCTCCTCTACATTTTCTCTCTCCTGATTTCCTTTAAAAATCACATCAATTTTATTGCTACATTTTTTGTGTTTTGATTTAAGTTTCTTATAAATTCGAAAATACCGAAGTTCTGGAGCCATTACCGGTTTCCACCGGCAACGGCCAGATCCGGTACCGAACACCATCCTCAGCCGAGCTCCTCGAGTCCGGTTCAAACATAGGCCCATTATCTCCGTCCGGAAACGGCACAGACGATCACCCCGAAAAGATGATCAAGCGTTCAATGGCTAGCCATAAGTCCATCTCCGACAAGATCCATAAGTACCGAGGCGTTTTGCTGGTCATATCCATCCCTGTCGTGCTTATAACCTTTGTGTTAAACGTCTTTCCGGGGAAATCGGCGTGTGATGTAGCCGTGATGGAGGAGATCGAATTAAATAGAAGGAGAGTAGGGGCGAATTCCAGAGGGAATAGGAATTATGCTTTGATTTTTGATGCGGGGAGTTCAGGAAGTCGATTTCATGTTTATTGTTTTGATCAGAATTTGGATCTTGTTCCAATTGGCTCTGATTTAGAGCTTTTTGAACAGTTAACTTCTTTTTCCACAGTAATTTTTAGACAGAACTATGCTTTCTTGGACTGTAGTTTTGTCTATGATGTAGTTGTGGATTTAAATCAGTAATTTTGATGAGAACCGTTACTTTTAAGATGATATATATGGTAATTCAATTCTATAATCTTGGTTTTTCCCCTTACTATCTTTAGTAATTTGTGCTGAAGAAGGGTTATATTAATGACCTTTATTTGAATGATAGTTGTTAATTATGACAGAGTTTGGCTCAAATTTAAATGGGATTTTAACTTGTATGCTCTACAAGAGGATTTTACTTGAATTGAACGAAAAGGAAGCTTCAAACATCTTTTGTTCGGTCTTTTCCAATGTGCCGTTTTGTTTATGTGCTGTGGAAGAAACATTTTCTTCAATTTTGTGCACTTGCTTTTCCAAGTATTACTTAGTTTTGTGCGGCTTCTTTTGTTCTAGCTTAAACCGGGATTGAGCTACTATGCAAAAGATCCGCAGGCTGCGGTCAATTCATTAAGTAGTCTTCTTGACAAGGCAGAAAGTGTTGTGCCAATGGATTTGCGATCAAAGACCCCAGTCAGAGTTGGGGTAGGTACTATTTACATCCATTGTGCATTCTTATTTTTGCATTCTGAGTCTGTTAATATGCTGAAAAATGGAAATTCAAATGTTGTGTAGGCAACCGCTGGTCTGAGGGCTCTAGGAGGATACACATCTGATAAAATTTTGCAATCAGTACTTTTTTTTTTATGTTGGTTATGTTCACAGCATTTACTTTGCCATTTCATCAAGCTAATGCTATTTTAAAAATACATTTTTAGGTTATTAAACTGTTGAAAAGTAGAAGCACCCTTAAATCCGAGGCAAATGGGGTCAAAATTCTAGACGGCTCTCAAGTAGGTTCTTATGAGTGGGTATGATGTGCTAAACTTTCTTGTCACACCCCAACTTAGGGTATAAAATTTTATTAAATTTTTCCGAGAATTAAATTGAAATTTTAACTAAATTTAGGGATTAAAGTGAAATTTTGATTAAATTCTAATCCAAATTTAAAAAGTATAAAAAACTAGAGGACTAATGACACAATTTTACCATTTTTCCTTTTTATGGAATATATAATCCCAAAATCAGGAAAGTTTACTCTTTTGGAAACCAACTCTCTCTCTCTCTCTTCAAGTTTTCCTCTTTTAGTAAATATCTTTAATCGACGTTTAGTCGTTGATCGTTTTTCGTCGACACCTCCCGCACCTTCGTGTTCCTAGCATCGTCTCGAGTCCACCGATATCCATCTTGTCTTCATTGCCGTCGGTGTGTGAGGGTATAAGGAAGATCAAGTTTTCAACGTTGCGAAATTGAGCTCTTCATCGTTCACTGCTATGAATCGAGCTTGATAAGTGTCTCAAAACCCTTTACAATGCATATAGGAAATTTTCTATAATTTTTTCGACCCCCAAAGACCCCGCACGTGCCGCTGCTGCGCATGGGGAAGTCCCACCACCTGGTGGGTTTCTAAAAAATGGACCTGCCCGACCCGCCTCGACCAGCATGTTTGACCCGACTCGACTGTCTCAGTCCAACCCGAACTGAACGGGTCAGCCGTTGACCGTTGACCGGTGTTGACTTTTTTCAAAAACTTTCATCTGGACTTTTTTTGACGTCCTGGGTACGATTTTGCGATCCATTTTGCCAAATTCGAACCCAAAAACCCTGAATCGAGTCTGTTAATCCAAAAACGCTTAGTATTTTTGGCATTTTTTCTTATTTATTTGCGATTTGGTTATGAAATTAATTCGAAAAAAATATTTTTATGAAGGTACACGTGTTCCAACCGACCTAGGATTGGTTAGATTCGGTGCTTCCCGTCCATCAGATCCGCTCGATTTACGTTCTTCGAGGGTTACTCGTATGTTTCTATAAATTATTTAAATAAAGGTTATTATTATTCATATTAGGATTCTGATATAAATTTTTCGATTCATAGAATCTAGCACTACCGCTGATCGTGATAGACAGACTCAGTAGTAGGCTTTCCTATCAGAATACTCAGACCGGTACAGGTATGTTTCCTGGTGGTGTTACTTATTGTTTTAAATTGTTCATCTGAATTGTTTTATATTTATGATGATACTGAATATTTTTACGAGACAATATCTGATTTCCTGAATATTGTTTATCTGATATCTGATTTACTGTATATTTTTTATATGATATTTGATTACTGTATTTATGTATTTAATTTCTGAGTATGAAACATTTTCATGTTTTAATAGATTAAAATATCGTTTTCACTCGAATAAATACATGTTTATTACTGTCATTGGGGTATTATTGGATGAAGTATATCAAGTTTAGTCTATGACTTGTAAGACCTTACCGCAAGCTTCTTTGCTTTGTACACAGGGTAAATCATTACCGCAGGTCCTTATGCTATATGTACAAGGCCCTTATCGGGTGTACAGGTGGGTTTATGGTTCTGGGAAACCTACACATTTTGGTGGTCGGACGGGGTAGTGGTCATATTTTTAAAACATGTTTGATAAACTGATTTTTATTAAAGTATTTTATCAGTATGTTTTTATACACCGTAAGGAGCACACTGGGTTTTTTAGCTCATTCTGTAAATTTTAACTTTTTTCAGATAGTAGAAAACCGTAAACTAGCAGACTTAGCATCAGGAGGACCAACTACTCCAATTTTTTGTACCATTGTATATCTTTATATGCATTTTTGTTATACTTTGGTGCCACGTGTTTTTACTACCGTCTCGATATATTTGTATTACCAATATTTTGTATGTATATGTTCTATACGGTTTTCTGATATATGTATACGTATATATTTATCGTATGAATCTTTCTTATGACTAATTTTTATATTATATTGTTATATGGATTTTAAGGTTGTCTTAAATATGAAAAGAATTTATGAATACGATAGGTAACCACCTAGGTTTGGTTATTACGTCCAGGTCGGGTCTAAGGGGTTACAATTCTTGTACTTCTATACTTTGCTTTTATTTTGTTTACTATAGCTAGGGTTAAAGTATATTGAAACCCTGTATTATAGTCAAACATGCAATTCAGTCCTTGTATTTTATAACTGAGCAATTTAATCCTTGAACATTTTCCATAGGTGCAAACAAGTAAAATTGATACAAATATTAATGGAAAAATGCTGATGTGGACTTTTGAAACCTGGTAAAGGACATGTTGAAATCTGACAACTTATGTTCTAAACAAATTTTTTCCTACATTAGTTCTATCTACAGATCTGTATTATTATGAGATTTTAAGAGTCTATGGTAGCTTTTAGATGTCTTTCGATAGACATTGTTATCAGTTTAACTTATTTTCACCAATATCAAGCATATAAGAAATTAAAGGAATCAGTTCTATAGTACAAGGACCACTTGATGTTTTAACCTTATTCCTGATCAGCATGATCAGTCTTATCAAGATGATTCATGGTGGTGCTCAAACCACAGGTAGAACAAGGGGAAACTAGAATCAAGTATATACATGCTGTCAGAGATCATGAACCATTAGAATTTTTCCGACTGATTGGGCAAATAGACCTAATTTTGACTTTCTTAACCGCCATCTTATTTTATAGGTAACAATAAATTACCTATTAGGGAATTTGGGAAGGACATATCAAAACACGGTTGGGATAGTTGATCTTGGCGGTGGATCTGTTCAAATGGCGTATGCCATCTCAGAGAGTGCTGCTTCAAGGGCTCTAAGTGTACCAGTTGGACAGGACAATTATGTAAATGAAATGCATCTGAAAGGATCGAAATATCATCTTTATATTCACAGGTGTCCTCATTTTGACAAATTATGATTCTATTAGTGATTTGAAGTGGATGATAAAGATAAACTATAATGGAATGTGATTACTTAAGGAATCAAATTTATCCTTTGCGTCACTACTCAGACATATGATTCTGTACTCTCGCGAGTCATGAACATATTTATATTGAGATCTATAACAATATGTTGCATTTTCGTGAGCAGCTATTTGCGCTATGTCTTATTGGCAGCTCAAGCAGAAATTTTGAAGGTCTTTGAAGATTCTGGCAACCCTTGTATCTTAGAGGGTTTTGATGGTATGTTTGAATTTGTTCAATCAGAACCCTAACTCTACAAAGAGCATTATTTTAATTATTTGAGCTGCATATGGTGAACATTGATGTACGGATTCAGTAACCAGAGTTTAGTGATCACTGAAAATGTAATCTTCGGCAATCAGCTCTGTTCTGAAAATTGTACTTCATCTCTCTATTCCAAAACAATTTTTTTGAATGCTTTGAATAATGGGATAGTCCTTGTAGTTTCCACATCCTTTGTTCTCTGTTGGGCATAATATTTGCCATTTAGGTACTGAACATAATGGGCATTTCATCTTTCCAAGGTACTTATCAATACGGGGGAGAATTTAAAGCATCAGCGCCGTTATCCGGTTCAAGTATTGAAGAATGCAGGAGGGTGACTCTCAAGGTTCTTAAAGTAAATGATTCATGCACGCATATGAAGTGCACATTTGGTGGTTTATGGAATGGCGGAGGTGGAGATGTACAGAAGAATCTGTTTGTTGCTTCATTTTTCTGTTAGGGCAGCCCGGGTATTCCATGATCGAGAATTGTATGACCTAATACAAGCTACTGAACAATCTGATTATCCATTCTAAGTAATTTGTTTATATACAGGCCGGTTTTATTAAAGCCAGTGATCCTGTTGCAAAAGTTCAGCCTCATTCGTTCTTAGATGCCGCAAAACGTGCTTGACAAACCAAGTTTGTGGATGCTAAAACAACATATACAGATTTGGGTGAGAGTAACATGCCCTATATATGCATGGATCTGGTTTACGAGTACACCCTACTTGTCGATGGATTTGGTAAGTCTGTACTTTTGGCATCGAATTCAAGTCATGCAACTTCGTACTTCATAGGTATCTTATGTTAACCTTTTTTCGGACAGGACTTGATCTCTACCAAGATATTACATTGGTGAAGAAAGTGAAATACCGGAATTCCTTCGTCGAAGCCGCTTGGCCACTAGGCTCTGCCATCGAAGCTGTATCATCTTGAAGTAAAAATTCCAGGTCAGCATCATCTTCTTTAAATTACTTATTCGAAATCTTGCATGACTTGGTTCTTAAGCATCGTTTCCTACTCGAATACACTGCTGATAAATATGCAGAAAGAAGCAGCATTGGATGTTCGTATTTGAGATCGGATTTTTTGGTGGGGAATAATCGATTTAGAGAGAAAAGTTTCGTTTAATCTTCCTCACTGATAATTTACATTTTTATTAGTTTTCCTGATTTTTATAATTATTGTAAGAGTTAATTGAATTATATCATAACAGATTACGTTACCAACATGTTTATGTCCCTAATAATTTTTGTTAGTTAAAAAATATACTTTTGTCTCTTGAATTACATTATCTTTCTCTTCAGGCTTAAATATAAAATAAGTGATCAAATTATACATTTTTTTACGAATATGGTCCTAAAGTATTTTTTTTTTGACTCATTCTGGTGCCTAAGTTAAAAATATTATCATTTTAGGTGCATGAGTCATCAATGGTGTTAATTTACTCTATTAATTAACATGTGTCATAATCTTAAAATATTGAAATTTTTATTTGGCAGGAGAGGAACGGTAGATTGCATAGAGTTAGTCCTAGAAGAATTGAGGGTATGGTTTTATTGATAAAGAGTATTGTTGTGTTGAGGTTAAAGGGGTGTATTCGGGGGCAAGTCTTCGGAGTTTGCTGTTGAATGGGATTTGTTATAGGATATATTTTTTTTCTATTTTTTATTATGGTGTTTATAGGTGAGATATTTTGTTCTTTGTAAATTGAGTGGTTCTTTGCTAGATGAGGTGTTTTGTTTTTGTAAATTGACTTGTATAGGGAGGTTCTTGTCTGGATGAGTAGGGATATTCAAAATTCGGTTTTAATCGAATTAACCGACCGAACGAATTAATTCGGTTAATTCGGTCGGCCACCGAATTAATTCGGTCGGGAAACGGTTAAGGATTTTTTTGGAATTCGGTTAACGGTTAATTCGGTTCGAAATCGGTTAATTAACCGAATTAACCGAATTAACCTTTAAATATAATTATATTAAGAGGCCTAATCCATTTAAAACCCATTTAAAACCCAAATCAATATTAATTAATTAAAATAATATCAAAACTAAATGCAAAATGTTTGAATCAAATTAATTATATATTATTTATAATTAGATATTATTTAAATTAATTGTAAATTGTTATTTTTAATTAAAAAATATTAAATTCTAAAATTCTAAAAAATTTCGGTTAATTCGAAAATTAACCGAATTAACCGAAATTTATTCGGTTCGGTTAATATTTTCGAAAAAAATTCAGTTCGGTTAACGGTTAAAGAAAAAAAAAGTTCGGTTAATTCAAAAATGATATTTCGGTCGGTTCGGCCACCGAATTAACCGAATAAACACCCCTATGGATGAGGTGTTTTGCTTTTGTAAATTGACTTGTACAGGAGGTTCTTTTTGGATGAATAAAATTTAACATATATCCCAAAAAATAGGGTTAACTACACATATGATTAATGTTTATGTTTTGTTCACTTTTAGTCACTGATTTTAAAAAAACATAAAATATGATAACTTTCGTTTTTATTTAATTAAGATATGATCACTACGAGTTAACTGTCGTTAATAGTAGTTAAATATTTTGATATAGTCACACATTTGGTCAATATTATTTGCATATTCTCTCAATTTAGTCACACTTTTCATAAATTAAAATAAATTATATATATTTTAATTGAAATTAAAAATATTTTTTTAAATTAAGTTAATAATAAAATATATTTAATAAGTTAATATAAAACATTTTTAAGTTAACATATATAAAATTATATTATATATAATCCGGGTCAGGGTATCGATTCATATTTTTTCTTTAAATTATATTATTTTTAAAAAAATTATAAATAAAAATTCTAAAATTTAAAATATAAAAGTCAATAATATATATAATCCACATAAATTTTAAAAATTCAAATTACATAATTAAAATAAAATTTATTAAAAAAATAAAAAAATATATAATTAAATTTCAAATGTTTTGAATTTAAAATAAATATTTTAAAAAAATAATTTAGAACGTTAATGTTAAATAATTTAAGAAATTAAGAATTTAGAATATTATAGTGTCAAAGTTTAAGAAATTATGATTTTAGATTGTTATAGTGAAATAATTTGAGAATTATGAATAAAAAATTAATATAAAATAAAAATAAAAAATATAATAAATTGGGTATCAGGTTAACGGGTACTCGGTTAACCAACATTTTGTGACCTAGGCCCAACCTAGAAGCCCGAAAAAAAATAGCGGGTCGGGTAACTGACCTGAAAAATCGATTATTTTTATTATAAATACCCTGTATTTTTTAACTATGTCAGCGGGTTGATGGGTCGGATTAATCGGGTCAAGTATTTTTAGCACCCCTACGTGACATGACATGTAGCATCATTCGATTGGAGGATTAAACTTATTTTAATTTATTAAAAGTATGACTAAATTGAGAGAATATATAAATAATATGGATCAAATGTGTGATTATATCAAAATATTTAACAACGGTTAACGGTAGTTAAGTTGAGGTTATCACATCTTAATTAAATAAAAACAAAAGTGACTAAAAGTGAACAAAATACAAATATAAGTGATCATCCATGTAGTTAACCTAAAAATATTATTAAAAACCTTTCCCAATCGCGTTCCACCCCCTTTCCCTCCCTTGCTTTTATGGCATTTTCATGGCCAAACGACCGACCAAATGGCTGGCTGGCACAATCGATTAAACGATCAATTATCACGATCGACCAAAGGAATTTAAGGGATTGAATATTTAGGATTTTAGGGATTGAAATTTATGGATTGGGAATTTTCGGTTTTGATATGATAGTAAGGGTTGTGATCGGTCATTAGGTGGTCGACGACGTATGGGTGGCATGTTGTCTGTGAATGGTGGCCGGAGGTGACCGACGATTGGAGTAAATGGGACTAGAATAAGAGATTTTAAGAGTTTGTAGTTTTCTGGTATTTTAAAAAAACTGAGGCTTTTTCGAAAATAAAATATTTTTAAGTTTTTTTAAAAAATAAATTTCTAAAATTATCAGATTATGACATATGTCAATTAACAGAGTAAATAAACATCGTTGCGATTCATACACCTAAAATGATAACGTTGTAACGTTTGTATAGAATTTTGAATTTTGATTTTTTCTTAAAAAATAAAAATATTAATAAAAAACCTTTCCCAATCGCGTCCCACCCCTTTCTCTTCCCTGCTCCTCTCCCTTAGTTGTTTTTATGGCATTTTCATGGACAAACGACCGACCAAATGGTTGGCTGTCACGATCGACTAAATGGTTAATTATCACGATCGATCAAAGGAATTTAATGGATTGAGTATTTGAGATTTAGGGATTGAGAATTTTGAGTTTTGAGATAATAATAAGGGTTGTGACCGGTCATTGGGTGGTCGGCGACGTATTGATGGCCGAAGGTGACCGGCGGTTGGAGTAAATGGGACTAGAATAAGAGATTTTAAGAGTTTTGAGTTTTTTCTGGTATTTTAGAAAAAATTGTAGCTTTTTCAAAAATATAATATTTTTAAGTTTCTTTAAAAAATAAATTTATAAAATTATTAGATTATGACATGCGTCAATTAACGGAGTAAACTAACGCCGTTGACGGCTCATGCACCTAAAATGATAACGTTTGTAACGTTAGGCACCGGGGTGAGCTCTTGATCGAGTCAAGTTGAAAATTTTTGAGTTATTTGAGTTGACGAGTCCTATTTTACAACTCGAAGTATACATAAAATTTTTTCGAGTCGAGGTTATAAAATTCGAGTCGATATGAGTCAAATCGAATTTGAGTTTCCGTTTAAATTTAATTATAAATATTTATAATATTATGATATTATTTTATTCTAATTTAAATTATTTTTTACAACCATATACAATACATGTGTATTTATTCATATTTTTTTTATATGTGATATACTTATGATACAGAGTCGAGAGACTCAACTCAAACTTGAAAATCAATCCACTAGTTACTAAAAATTTTGAGTTATTTGTGTTACTATTCGAGTTATTTGAGTTGTATTTTACAGCTCGCTTTGAACTTGATTTTTTTTAATTGAGTTTATGAAATTACAACTTGAAGCTAATTCGAGTTAAGTCGAGTCAAAAAATCGGTTTTTTCGAGTCGAGTTGTGTTTTTCTCACCTCTAACCGGGATGAGTAAAAAAAAAATACTTTAGATACATATTCGTAAAAATAATGTTTAATTTGACCACTTATTTTATATTTAAGCCTTCTCTTTAACTTGATCTTCTGAAAACAAAAACTTTAATTAGATATTTGAATTTGTATTTTGTAAATTAAATTATTTAGAAGCTAATTTCATACATTATTTTTATAATGGTGATTTTTTTCAAACTTTATATATTTTAAATAAAAAATTAGCAATTACTATTTAAGATAAAATTAAGTGTTTAATCAACAAAAAATATTAAGAAAACTGTATAAATCCTTTACAA